GAGGCGGGCGGCGGTGGAGGCGCAAAAAATGACGATGACATGGTATTGAAGCTCTTCGGATGTATGGATAGCAACCTTCAGTTGAGCTGCTATTTGTACTTCTGGATGCATGCCGAGCTCCAAATTGCTTTACGCAATGGATGCGGTCGTCGATCAGTTCGGCTATTGTCATCGTCGTCGGAATGAAGTGGGTCACCAGAGCCGTGGAGCCGCGTCCCTGCGGCTCTTGCCTGTTGGGTCCTGTTGTCAGCAAGCCGTACCCAGGCCGCACATGAGTAAGCATACACACGCTGTGAGCATCGATGAGCCCTGCCCTGACATCCCTGACACGCCGTATCACGAATCCAATTGAGTTTAGCACGGGATAATTCTAGAAGGGGATGTCAATACCTTGAAGTGGAAAGACCTTCTCCTTCTGCTGTTGAACAACATTTAGGGGACGCGCGTGGTAAACACGCCAAGCCATCACATGGTCCCGGCACCAGCAGTTAGCGGTTTCCCACGGTCATCCATAATTGATGTGATGTCTCGAGTCATCTTATCACAGATCTGTAGATCTGCACGTTCCGTGGGATCACATTTCCAACCACGCTTCTACTTCCCACACCGCTGAATTGCTACTGTTTGCAACGCTCGGACGTAGAGATATGAGTTTCGCCGTTTGAAGTCCAAAGAGGTGTCATTTCCCTCATCCGAGGTTTTGGCTACCCAGTCGACTCTCGGATTGAAAGCGCGCAGGAAGGTATAACCGAGGAGCACGCGATGATGGCCGATATCCATGGACGAAGAATCGTTGTTCCTTGCTACGTTGTCCTAGCGTTAAGTATGTGTCAATATACTGACGAATGAGGCCATTGTGGTTTTCGGTTCATCCACATTAATGATCCGTCCCGCTTGTGTTAGGGTGCGCAGTTGCATTCCTAGTCGTTCAGCTAACATGGGGTATATGCAATTGTCGGTCGCGCCGCTGTCGATCAAGACCCTTTCAGCATTTTCGGCAGTTTCTGAGACCAATGGTAATCAATTGGATGGCTCAAATGTACACGCTGTGTAATTTTGCCTTAGCTTCATGTTAAGCTTCGGCACACTAAAGATCCGAGTCAGTTGCGCCTCTCTCCCCAATGTCTCCCATCAATTTTTCGAACAATTTCTTCGAAGGGCCCGGTTTCAATTGACGAATTTCGGCAAGAAGCTGGTCGACTTCTCTTTCGTCATTGGTGTCGCTAGTCCCGACAACTTCTTCGATCTGGGCTTTGCACGGGCGGGTTGGAGCAGGTGCTGCGGTCGACGTCGGGGTATTGGTACGTGATTGACTTTGCTGGGCCTTTAGTGGGCATGCGCGTGAGAAGTGGCCCTGTTTCCGACACCGGAAGCAGCAGCCTTCCTTGCGCAACTGGTCCCTTTCCTTATCAGTGAGTGGTTGGAGTCGGGCAACGTCAAACTGCATGGTGTCGTCGTCTTGCTCCTTCTTTCGACTGTGCTGCTGATTCGTTGCTTTCGCATTGTCGAATAGGGCCTTCAGGTGGGCTTCCTTGACAGGGATCATCCAGTTCCCCTTCCCGGCTAGGGCTTCCTTGCGATAGGCTTCGCGGTGTGCTTCGCAACGAGCCGCGTTCTGCCATTCGTCGAGGGTTTCAGGCCAGATGTCTCGGTCGAGAATTCGCTGAAGGAGGGTCTTCAAGAGACCCCCTATGAACATTTCGGTGATGGATTCGGCGGAGCGGTCCCAGCCGTGTTTGTCGAGGAGCTCTTCGAAATTGGCGATGTACTCGTCAACACTGTCCATCCCCTTCTGGCGTAAGGTCATGATGTGCTTCAGCGGTTTCTTCTTCACTGCGGTATCAGCGAAAGCATTGTTAAAATCTCGTTCGAAGTTAATCCACAGGTCCTCGTCCTCGCGTTGGTAGACTCCTTTTTCGACGTCGTCTTGCAGCTCCCGGACGCGTTTGGCCTTCCAAGCGTTCACTCTTGGTCCCCGAATGAAACCTAAGGCCATTGATGTTCGTTGGTAAGGTATCGCCATTACTGTATTACTCTCGTTGCTCATCCAGTAGCAGGTGAAGTCGGTGAGGAATGTGGCAGCCTTAGATCGATCGCCATCGAATACTGTGGGACTCCTCCCAATGAGACTTCCATCTGTCATATTGCGAGTGGGTTGTGGGCGTTTGAGTGCGGCTTCAAGGCTCGGACGCTGGTGCTCTGATCAGGAACGACTCCGTACTGTATAAGTATATTGACGATCTGTTCATTGAAGTGTGGGTTAATACCCCTCTGCTGTTCTGACCATTCCTTAACCCATTGTCATCGTTCATAGCCATCGGGCTGGGAAAAACCAGCGGCCGATGGCTCCATGGGTTCCAACCCTGAGCGTCGGACTGACTCCTTTCCTTTGCCGGGCTGTTGGTCGGGCATTGCATCGAAGGATGACACCGGAATCGAGGGAGTTCTTTCGTGGGTAACTGAGGAGCTCGAGGCCATGGTCGTGGCGGTGGAGCAGACTGCTTTTTGGTGTATTGGGTTGGAGGGTAAAATTTCTAGTGTCGAATTAGAATAGTATAGTTGTTCTTGAGGATCCCACGCAATCAAGAACCACTGGTTATTGATACGTTCTATGCGGTGACTGCATCCTCCGTGTTCGACATGATATGTGGCCGTGGCCGCACTTTCATTCGGGTAGCACTGACCCCATAGGGCCTTGCCTTTGACTTACTTGGCAGATCGTCACTTCCTCGCGTGAGGACGTGGGTGTTTCCAGTTGCCTCGAAGACCATATGAAGGTTTTCGTACAGCGACATTTCGTTTTTCTGAGTTCAGGGAGACTAGGAAAATGAGCTTGAGTTGTGTAACGGCGTGTACAGTTTTGCGCGTTGGCGCTTAGTCGTGGGTTGTGGGGAAATAGTAAGACGACTAGTAGGACTGCTACTACTAAGTCGACTTCTGAGAGCGAGGTGTTCGAGTTGAGGGACCTGACCAGAGGCAGAGAGGAGTCGGGATCAGGCTTTCTTGAGTGCAATACTTGATAGCGCTTTAATATCAACACGAAACTACGTCAGGGTGGATACTAGAAGCTCGCGTTTCCCGGCTCATAGGGAGACCGCGCTCTTCGTGACGTGACGTCATAGCTCTAATGTCACAGTCACAAGCGAAAAGCGAAGCTCGTACTATCCTAAGCTCGTACTGTCCTAACGGTGACCTTGCTCAGAATTGGACGTGGAGGAAGGTCAATAAACTGAATTGGCCATCCAGCAGTCCAGATATAAACAGCATCAAGAATCTGTGGTAGTATTTGGAGCAGAGGATGTGCATCCAGAACCCTCTCCCAAGGAACCAGGAGGACATGTAGCTCGCACTGCAGGAGGAATGGGGGGAGATCAAGGATGACTATTATATCAGAGTATACCCAACATGATTGAGGAAAAGGGTGGCCACACAAAGTACTGAAATGATTTTTTCGATTGTTTTCCAAATGGAGATCTGACTCCGAAGTTCTAGAGTACACAAACAAAAAAGTGTTGCACAGTACATCTCGTGTTCTTTATGTGTTCTTTATCATAAATTTTAACAATCATCGCTAGAGTGGGGAACAAGGAGCGATGATGATATTATTTGCGATAAATGTCACGTGTTGCATTACTTAATTGGGCTACTGTAATATCACCCCGCTCCCTCCCACACTTCCGGCGCACCCACTCCACCTCAGCTTCACGTCCTTAGCGGAGCGCCTCTATGTGCTTCAGGAGTTGCAGGGACGCATCATAAATGCACCTCTCCTGCTCCTGGGGGTGCCTCGGCATGCACGTTTCCTCCACCCCCTTGCGACTGGTCTTGATATCATCCCATGATCTGGGTGGACCCTCCATCCGATACATGGTTGATCCTACCATGTTTGTCATATTGGGAGGACATGATTCCGCGCCTGTGCAAGTTCTCCGGTCGCTGCTCCCGCAAGTCTTGTGGAGGAGGTGGTGTAGTATGCCCGGCCATCAACTCGTGCGAGGTCGCTGGGCTTGGATTACCGGCATTCGATTCGTCTTCTCGCTCGTCGGTGATGACGATGTCTTCTTGGTTTGCGCCAATGCTACTGCTACTCGGCTCCACTTCGCTGTCCGGAGCATCAGCGCTCTGGTGTCCCCTGTAACCCTTGGCATTCGGGCGCAGACTGAATGCATGTGATGGGGTAGGTACCTCGAGCACGGCGGTCTGGCAGGCATAATTGTAGCCCAAAGTGGCTTTGACCGCATGCCACGCGAAGCTACTGGTAATTATCATTGACTTATCTTTGTGCGGTTGACGTCTGATGCACTTTTTACTCGAGTTGTACTCACCTCAAGTCATCAACGCCTAGCCCTGCACGCTATAGCCCTTAATATATTCACTCCTATACCCCTGTGACTCCCGCCGTAGATCTGGAAGCCTTGTGTGATCACTGGGATTCCCCGCGGACTACCATGCGGCACAACCTACAGCTCGACTTCAGGCCCTGCGTCTGGTCACTAACGCTCACACTCACTTGACGCACTAACCAACATTACCGAGTGGTTCTTGACTGTATTTAACCATCAGGATGGGTCGGCGGTCTGGTCTCATCTCCTCTCTATAACGAGTCTTTTCTACCCACATATTTCATCCCCGCAATATGAGGGGGCAGTTCCTTATGGGGATGTGCGGCGGCTCAAGCTGGTCCAGACATTTTCCTCTGTCAATTTCCATCACCCACCCACTGCTGGAGCTTCGTTTACAGATCTCATGCTTAGACGTCCTTGATCTGAAACCAAAGCCAATATAGCGATGGCCGACGGTCATCGGTCGCTCTTCGAGTTAGAGTACCGTGTAATACCAGTGGAACATCGCAGTAAGTTCGTCGCTCGTGTCTCACTGTATCCATCGGTCATGCTGTGCCAGGGCCGCGTGAGCCAGTGAGAGTGCGACTGTTAATGCCTCTGCCTCTGGCTAAGACGACGGTAAAGACCAGATTGCGTCAGGGCGGTTAAAGCTAAAATGGGCACATGGTGTAGTTGGTTTATCACGTTCGCTTCGCACTTCAGTTGGGCTCTGCGAAGGGTGTCCGATTCAATTCCGGATGTGTCCACAGAAATGACCTTCTTTTTTCCCCAGAATACACCGTATAAGTCTCTGTCAGGCTGCCTTCATGTGCGTTGAGTTTGCTTTGCACTTCCTCCGAATGTCGTCTACGTCCAGTGCATCATGCCCCTCTCTTCCCTGCAGCTCGCTCACGAAGCTAGGACTGTTTGAGATTGGACTTTTCGATAAGTGTGCACTTGGGCAGCTTTGCAATTTCAATTCGGACCACAAGCCTGTACCCAGCTGAGCTCTGCTGTCTTATAGACGTCTTCTGCTTCGTCGGCACTACCCACAACTCCCTTTGAATTAGCTGGCCTAATTGTTTGCTCTTGAATACTGTCATGCAACCTATCATCAGCATAACTGCTCCCACACCCACAGATATTAAACCCAGCATCCATGGCCGCATATTCAGGACTACTACCCTCTTCGCTGACGCAGCGCTCTTCAATATGGTATACCGATTCAACTTCGCATCTACCCATCACGCTGAATTATTATCATCCGCATGCAACGGTCCAGGATGCTACCCTGACAGATTCCATCGCGGCAGTCGAAGCAGCCCGGAGCAACGTTGCGCCCGAAATCGGCGCAGATCCCACGTTTGTGATCGCGGCGACGCACGGCAAGCGCGGGATCGACGACAACCTCGCCATGGCGCGCTTCAAGCCACCGCATCTTAGCCCGCCGCACGAGCTAAGCGTTGCTGTGGACGACTTTGAGCGCTCTACCCTCTTCTATGCCGGTGCGCATGAGCACGGGCACGCGGCGCACAACAGCTCGACGCCTTCGCTCCTGTCCGACGCTGGCCCCGGCCCTAGCTCTAGCCCCAGCTCGACTGCGGGAAGCTCTTCCGTGGTTTCCCTGCTGCCGAGCGCTGCAGCGTCGACAGAACAGCTCTCCCGCGAGCCGCAGCCCCACCCTTGGCGGCTCGCGGACGAGCTCGAGACTGCCGAGGAAGAGGAGGATCGCGCTGTGCGCATCTTTCCAGGGGTCAAGCCGTTGCTCGAGTCGATCCCCGAGGGCCGCTACGCCATGTATACGTCCGGAACGAAGACGTACGGTGCGTTTGCCCCCCACCCCCCTTCCCCCACTTGTTTTTTTGTTTCTGTTTTTGGTCGCGTGACTGCTGATGGGCGAGGCGAAATCTTTTTTTTTGAGTAGCGCATGGTTGTCTTGCCCGAATAGGCCTCGTCCCCGCTAAAGTGACCATCACGCTGGACGACCCATGCCTCCGCGCAGGCAAGCCCGCACTGGACCAGTTCCTCCTTGCCGCCGCTGAGTGCCTCGGCTACCAAGCCTCGCGCTGCGTCGTCTTTGAAGATTCACCGAGCGGCATTAAGGCCGGCGTTGCAGCCGGCGCCATAGTCATCGCTGTGTGCACGAGCCACTCGCACAAACAAGTCGAAGAGTGTGGCGCCCATTTCGTGGTGGAGAACCTGGAGGATGTACGCTGTGAAGAGATGGAGACGGAGGAGGGGACCCGCCTGATGTTTACGGTCGAGCATTGAGCGTGTGTGACGTATGGATGATGGACTGGATGCCCAGATAATACATCTTCGAGATTCAATTCAAAAAATGTTCATTGGACTCGGACCTGGTGTCGTACGTACGAATTACTCGGTGGCCTGTAGAATTGCACGACCTGAGTGCGCTGCGTCATAGTAAGTATGCCGCGTGCTGCATTCAGACCTCGAGGCCTCTTGTACGTAGTCCTACGCCCGTCAGGCACCAAGTCTATGGAGCATCCCAAGACCACTGGCAGGTCCTCTACACGGAAGCTTTCGTTCAGTGCAGTGTCGTCAGGTCAGCCCTGCCACCGATACAGTACTATCCATCCATCCGCGATCAAACGAGCGAGTATCAGCGGCTAAACAGAGAAGCGAGGCATGCCTTCAAGGATTTCAGATTCGAAGACAACCGTGACGCGCGTCGAGTGCAGAGCTTAAAATGCTGACCAAATATAGTCAAACAACCCATGTGTTGATTTACGTTAAGTTCTTGGTGCCAAATGACACTACGGAGCCGAGAATGGAACGATCCTGTGGAATATTGCACCGGGGTGCTAAGCGTCGTCGCTCTTCCAACGGTCAACCCACTCAAAAATCAGATGTTGACCCCTTGCTTTCAATGCATTTATGAGTGAAAGTCAATGTAACCTTTGCATGACCTCGGATACCCGTATATCCATGTTAAAAAGGACAATCCTCTCTATCCTGATCACCTGGCCACGTAATCCCGATCGGGTTCCATTCCGCAAAACCACTACGGTTGACATGACGCGACGTGAATGAGAAGGGTTCTTGTTCCGGCCCTCCATGCCTCCTCTGTTATAAATTGACCTGAATTTCACGGTGAGAGCGTATAGTAGTGCCCTTATGCTCGCCTTGGCGTTGGTCTCTTTCCTCTTCAGTGCTCCATCAGCGCTCTCCAAACCATGGGCTACCTCTGGCTATTGCAATGCGCCCCATGTGAATGCCTCTCACTACCAACCCGTGGAAGGCGCAGAGCTTGTCCATCTTAGCATCATGATGCGGCACCACAAGGTAACATACCAACTCCTCGGGTGCCTTGTCAGCATGCCAGCCTGATTACAACTCCACAGCGCACGCCCATTGCATTGGTTCCGAATGAGCATGGGATCAACCTGGGCTTAGAATGGGACTGCTCAGGTGTGAAGCAATTCACGTATGATGGCGGCGGTACTCCTTCGTCCCACTTTGTGACTATCCCACCTCGTCATCCATTCGCGCAACAAATATGGGCTGGTAGCTGCGAAGAAGGCCAGCTCACGGCTGGTGGCTTTCACGACTCGAGGATCCATGGAAAGGTAATGAAATGCCGCTTAGTTCTGTCGTTAGTATGGAGTGACGTGTTGGACAGGACCTTTGGGAGCTTTATCACCGTCGCCTCGGCTTCTTACGCGCCGTTAATCCCAGCGAGATTGGTGTACGTACAACTTACGTCGACCGCACGAAGCATGTTGCCAGCGGCGTCCTCGCGGGCATGGACCCCTCAACTACCAGACGCCCGTGGCCTGCCCATGCACAACCCCAGAGGGTAAATGTCTTTTCCATCCCCACTACTACGAGAGTTCTCGTTCTCACTGCAGGTCTAGATAGATTCCCTTGCACCAAACTACAAGTGTCCCCGTGCGGATGCACTGCTCGCGGCGGCGCAGGCTGCGCCCTTCTGGCAGGGCATTTTGGAGAAGAACTCGGCTCTGAAAAGGCGAGTTGATTCCGTATTAGGAACGACGAACTCGAAGGCCGTGTGGCCATCTACTTGTAAGTGTATCAATGGCGGCGCTGATCCTTCTACTAACTGATGTTGTCTAGTTACCTTCTACCAAGATGTTTTGACATCTCGCGTCTGCAATGATCACCCCCTCCCTTGTAACGAAGCCGAAGAATGTGTTTCTGAAGACGATGCTGCTAAGATCTTCGAGCTGGGAAACCTTGAGTTTGAGTGAGTGTCATCTTGGGTTAGTCATGCGGGTCATGTTTATGTCGAACCGGTTCCCAGTTATTTGTGGCACCTCGCAGAAAACGCGACGGAGTACAATCAACTAACCTTTGGTCAGCTTTAATATCGCCGACCTCTTGCTGATTATTGATATGAGAGACACTAGGGGTGATGTTCTCTGAGCTTGCGGACGCTCTCAGCGCACCGGAGCACCGTCTTGCACTGTATGTTGCCCACGATTCCTCTATCGTGCGCCTCGCTGCAGGACTTGGAATATTCCCCTTACGCTGGCCCAGGCTTGGATCGGAGATAGTCATCGAGGTACGTGCTTGAAGCTTGAAGACTGGTAGCTGACGATCTGACTCACGTCAACTAGGTCTGGAGTGATAAGCGCCAGAAGCTATTTGCTCGGGTGCTATATGATGGGGAACTCATAGATTCTCTCAGCTGGACGCCCCTCGACGATTTCATAAGTCTCCTGAGGCGACAAGTTCCGGACCACCTATTCGAGAGGTGTTCGTCTGCGTCAGGTAAAGCTGAGGGCGTGAAGCAACTGGGCGTTCCTTTCGTTGTGCAGTAGTTCAGGTCGGGGCTCCCTGTGTTGTGAATCCAACTTTCGTGCGGACGCAGAGGGGATGGACCTTCCGCATCAGAAGATCCGCAGTAGTACATAAGTGTAGATAACAATTTGAGGGATGTTCGACTTAGCGACACGATGAGACGATATCGATGTCAGTTGTGCATCACGTGCATAGTCGCACATCACGTGTGCTCGTCGGACGTGGTTGCGACGTGGCTCGTTCCGACTCAGATATCACCTCGAACGGACATTTTTGAAAATTTCATGATCCCTACATTCAGGCCTCAAGCTTCAAGTTGTTGCTTCGAAATTCTGTGTCGTCTCGACATCCGGGGGAACGAGCGGTCGGAGCTGGACACTTCCAATATTGCAATCTCAGGCCATCAGCAAAATGGCCCCGGGGTTCGGTTTGTTTCTGGGTTCCCGGATGAATCACAATACAAATTGGGTGTTTATAGCGTGATGGTTTCTTCAGGTTGACCACGTATCTTTATGAGGTTTTCTGGGAATTGGGACATAGCTATCCAAGTCCCCTCTGGTTTTTGCGCTTGGCGTGTTGAGAAACCTCTGGAAATCAAGATACCTGATTACTGATGCACTGGCTTGTCTCAACTCTCAAGGCCGGGAGCAAAGCAACGTTGTTCAAAGTGTTTGTTCATCGTCGTTGCGTTTTTTGTTATTTGTTGGCATAATCGAGCCCGAAACCCCAATGATGGGCCCATCTCATTCGGTCGTGTTGTAGACCCTTTCTTCCTGGTAAAGAAAATGTGCGATCTAACTTTATCTCTGGACGTCCCAACTAATTCCCATCTATCATTGATCGCACCTGCATATGATCACCGTGATGATCAACTTTGATGATCCTGACACGTGTCTGGCCCGGAATCATCACCAAATTCTTCCTGCTCCCTCCCTCGAAAACTTGACGCTTTATACCTCTGCCGTCACAATGTTTTTTTATC